AAGACTTTTAAGAAATGATTTAAGTGATTTTTAAAAAGTAGAGTGCCAGGCCTTTCTTCTTCTTCTTCCTAAGTCTGGAAACCCCACTGAAACTTGTTTAGCATCACAGCCAAGTGGGAAGATCCCCTGACAGGTAAGATGGGTTGTGAGTGCACATGAAGTGCATTGGCGGGGGGTTTCCTGCATGAAAAAGTAGGACTTTTCTCACTAATCCACCACTATCTCACTGAGGGCACTTTATAAGTTCACGAAGCACTTTAGTGAACACTTTTCCTCTTGTGCAGTGAACCTGAGAGACAGGAAGGAATGAACATCCCCAGTTTACAGGTGAAGCAGACAGAGAGGGTCAGTTCCTCTGTCCTGGGTGGAAGCAACACGATTTAAGCTCAGTTTTGGCCTCACATTTCAACATTCTTTCTAAGCAGTTTCTCAGACTCTTACACAAGGTGAGACAGGGCTGGGCAGCACTGTGGGGACACCCTGTAGGGCCAGGGGAGGAATTTCATCAAGTGAGGGTGGTATGGGGAGAGGCTGTTCCAAGTGGAGACAGGGCAGGGACAGCCCAGAGCACGTTATGGATTGGATGGTACCTCCTACCTGTCACCACATTTAAGCTGAAGTTCAAGCCCCTGGTACTTGTGAGTGTGGTCTTGTCTGGATAAAGGATCTTAGAAGATGATATCACTCATGTTAATACAGGGTCTTATTGCGATGGTATGAATAGAATCTGTGCTGCGTTCTTACAAGAGACACAGATACAGAGAAGCACCATGTGGAAATGCACTTACCAGTCAAGGAACATCTGTGGCTACTAGAAGCTTGGGAAGATGAGAGAGAATCAAGCTCTGGAGGGGACCTGGCCCTGCTGACTCTCAGAATTCAGAGTCCCAGCCTCTTAGGACTGTGAGGTGACAAGCTTCTGTTCTATGAGCCCCCCCTGGTGGGTACTTTATTACAGCAACCATAGGAACAAATATAGAGGGGCATTGCCAGTTTGGAGGAAGGCTGGAGAGCAGAGCTTAGCCTAAAGGGGTAGAGGAGTGTGCTAACGGTCAATCCCAGATGTGAAGTTGCAAAGTTTACCTTGGGAGACAGTGGAAAAGCGCTAACAGTGTTGGAGCAGGGAGTGGACCCTGTGCTAGGTGTTATATAAATGATAGAAAGAGAAATGATCTCTGGCTATTCACTTTATCACCTATTCAGCTTTACTGCGTGGCACAGTAAAGGCCTGGCAACTCAGAGAAGACTCTGACTTCTGGGAGCCAGCAGGCCAATGGGCTGTGCCCCATGTGTGTCTAACCTGTGGTGTCTGTCTTGGTGCCATGGTGCACTTGCACAAGATCTACTGCAGAGAACTTTCCAGAAGAGTGAGAGGGCAGGAAGGCTCTCCACGGCAGTTGTGGAAAGATGACTACTTTCTCCTGCTATCATCTCCAGTCTGTTCATCTAACTGTCTCAGGTAAGAAAGGCTGCAGCTCTGGCAGACCTGGACAATCACAGGCTGTAGGGCAGGAGGCAGAGAGGATGGAAGAGAGTCCAAGGGGAATGAGAGGGACCTGCATATCCATGGTGGTGACTTCGTTCCTGGGCCCTGGAAACCTGGACCTGGCCACCCTTGGTTCAGAGAATGTTCCTGAAGGTGAGTGGAAGGCTCCTCTGACCGTCAAGGCCTCTACATGCCAGCTGTCTTTGTGAAAGTCCACGGAATCCCTTATCTGCGGAGCCGGGCCTGGCTGGCCCCCAACTGGCTCGTCCATCCACAGCCAGCAGGCTTTGCAGAGAAGGTGAAGTCATGTCATCTGGCTCTTTATCATCTGGCATACAGCAAGGGAACACACATCCCAAGCCCTGTGGCTGGACTGTGGCTAGACTGGAAACCCAATCTATTATTACAGGACAGGGCAACCAGACCGAATTACCCCAGTGATGACAAAAAGCCCTCAACTAGCATAATAGCTCAACACATATATACCAGCTAGTGAGTAAAATGTATCTGTCATGTAACATGTCCTCAGGATAACTCTAAGCCGTCTAAGTATCTCACAAGCCCTATTTTAGGCAAAACCACACACAAATATACACATATCCAAAGTGCATTGTTTAGTATTGACTCATTTAGATGATATCACTGAACCATTAGTTACTAACACACTGTAAGTGGGAAAATGGGTAACACGCAAAAAGTGTGTGGACCTTGATATCAGGATACGAGAGTGTATAGACGACATTTGAATGAGCTGCTGTTGAAGTCAGCTCTGATTTACTAAATGTGGCACAACAGACCTGGCTCCTTAGAGTTTTCAATGGCTGAGTTTTAAGAATTAGGTTTTAAGGTTACAAGGCTTTTCTTCCAAGGTGCCTTGAGGTACACTCGAACCTGCAACTTTTCAGTTAGCAGATGTGTGTGTGTTAACTATTTGCACCACAGAGGAACTCTGCTGAGGAGAAAGGGTTGCCATTTGTTTGGAAGGGCCTGTGAGAATTTCTTAGAAGTCACACAACCATCTTAAAGTCAGGTCTACTCCACAGTATTGGAGAGAGGAAGAGAAAGAGCATAAACTAAGATGACGGAGACTTAAATCAACAAAAAAGCTACCAACTTGGATTTGGCCTGCCGTCAAATGCAGAAGCTTTTCAACACACCCTCACAGTTTGCGAGACCCCAGGGCAGGAGGCACTCCCTTGCTGGCCGCAGCAGAGTTCTGAAGGCCGCAGGGCTGGGAGCCACCAGCAAGCCAGAAAACGGAGAGCCCATGTGCCACGACACAAGAATCCATCCCAAACTGGGGAACTGTTTGCTCCCTTGTTCCCAGTTAGGCAGGCACGCCCAGCTGTGCAGTCGGCTTACCTGCCACATGAACTTCTGCTACAAAAACGGGATCTAAATGAGGTTGTGTCCACAATAGAATCAGTGGGTCTGTAACCAGAAAGACCACCAAGATAGGGCAGGTAAACCAAAGCCCTTTCCCTCCATGCATGACTACTTTTCAATTCTTTCTCCAGCTTCACTTGGAAACAGAATTGCAGGGCAGCAAATACAGCAATTCTTAGGTTGAAGAGAAAGGGTGGTCTGAGGTTTCTATTAATGGATTTAGGGCTGGAACTAGCTGCAAGGAAACATCTACCTACGAGACATCACTGCCAACTTCATCATCTGCTGCCAGGTGATCAGGGTCAGAGAGGAAAGAGCCCAAGGGGTTCTCAAGAACCTCGTCTTCTCCCAGACTGAGTTTGAACCCACCTTTTGTTAAGTGGTAACCTTAGTTCTTTTACTTAATTGGAACTGTGCCTTCCTTATATGTAAAGTGGGGAATTCTGCAGGGCTGCTGGGATGGGATAATGCTGGACAAGCGCTACCACAGTGTGTACTCAGTGGTCAGTAAATGTGGTTGTTAGGTGTCCTTTGATTGGTCTTTGATTCACAGTGACTCCATATGACAGAGTAGAGTGGCCCCATAATATTTTCTAGGTTGTAATCTTTATAGGAGCAGATCCCCAGGCCTTTCTTCCTTGGAACCACTGGGTGGGTTCAAACCACCAACCTTTTGGTTAGAAGCTGAGTGTTTAACTGCTTGTGACCCTATGGCTCCTTGGATTGGTTAACAGGTCACACTATTATTGTTGTGAGTAGCCCTTGGTGGTGTCAAGTGTTTACTTTTCAAAATGTCTTTCCTGGCTATTGATTAACTGTTTATTTTGTCCTTATTGTGTTAAGGAGAGAAGATTAGGGTGGGATACAAGCCCCTCCTCTCTAGAGGCTTATATAAGCTCATGGGAAATGAATGCCAGTTCTCTTTTGGGACACCCACTTTCCAGCTACACTGCAATTGACAGGCTACAATGCTCACAGGTCTCTGCAACACCAGCCTGCATTGTCTATGTCACTGAGTCATTCCCCTGATGGGTCTGAGTCTCTGTGGGATCTTCCGGCAAACCACCAAACCCAAGGGGCACAGAAGACTGGGAGAGCTGAATGAAAGAGAGACTGTTAATGTCAGAAATCATGCAGTTACACAGCAGATCGTACATTTGGGACATTGTTGACTCAGCACTTCTTGTAACTGGTCTGCTTCTAATCTTAGCAGATTATGAATACACCTTCAGTTAGACTCTAACCTTTGGCAACTCCCGTGTGCAGAGAAGAACTTCTCCCTAGGGTTTTCAAGGCTGTGATCTTTGAAAGCAGATCTCCAGGCTTGTCTTCTGTGGCACCTCTGGGTGAGTTCAAATCCCCAACCTTCAGGCTATTAGCCAAGTGCTTTACTAGTTGCCCTGCACATGAGCAAAGTCAGTGACTGGCATTTTAGGCCCAGTTACAGGTAACTCATGGAACAGTGCGTAAGCATTTGGCGATTAACTGAAATGTCATTGATTTGAATCCATTAGAACCAATATATGGGAGAAAGATGTTACAGTCTATTTCTTCCATCGCTGTTGTTCTTGGTAGGTGTGATCGAATTGACTAAGACTCATAGTGACCTGAAACTTGCCTGATCTGGTGCCATCCTCCTCATCTCTGATATACTCAAGTCCACTGTTATGGTCCCTATGTCCATTCACCTTGTTAAGAGTCCGCCTCTCTTTCATTGACCCTTCACCTTTCCCAGCATGATATTTATTCTCCAAGAACCAGCCCCTCCTAATGACATGCCTACACACCATTCCCAATGGGGCAATTCTGTAGGGCCACATGGGTTAGAAATGACTTGATAACAAAGGGTTGAATGTGAGGGTACAACAGTGAGTTCTAAGAAACACGGTTCTTCCCAACTCAGAACGATAGCAAGACTGTGGAAACTGGGGAAGAAAACTCCAACCTGTTTCCAGGCGTGGAGGAAGGAAGCACTGGGGAAAGCAGCCATGAGGGCCCAAAGGACCCTACACATACACACACACACACACACACACACACACACACGCGCGCGCGCCTGTGCACACCCGCCCCACCCCACGCACGCCCACTCCAGGTCCTGCCTGTAGCAAGACCTCACGACACTCACTCGCACAGGTTTTTCCATCGCTGCGGAGCACGTGTCCCTTGGGGCACTGGCAGGCATAGGATGTGTCCGTGTTGACGCAGGAATGTTCACAGCCATGGTCACTCAGCAAGCAGTAATCCACTCCTGTAAGTCAAACAGCAAGTGAGGGCCCAGGTGGGCAGTGCGCCTTCGCCACCAAGGCCATCAGGCCACTGATGATTAATTAAGTGACCCCACGCTCAACCTCACCCACCTGTGAATGCATGCACCCCCAGTGGACCCCCCAACAGCCATAATGAGGCAGAGGAAAGGGGGCAGCGCCCTGTAGCCTCCCCCGTTTCCCTCCTGCTACAAATGCTTCCCTAGGAAGACGGCTTCCAGAGACGCAGGCAGTGGGACTCACTGGAGCAGGTCTTGAGGTCCTCGTTGATGAGGAAGCCTTCCGAGCACTGGCAGACGAAGGACTCCTCCGTGTTGAGGCACAGCTGTTCACAGCCATGGTTGTTCTGTGCACAGTGATCCACCCCTGCCGGCATCACCAACATGAATGAATTAAGGACCCATGGGGACAATGTCACACTAGCCAACCAGAAACCCAGTCCTAGCAGGAGCTCCAGGATGGAGCCTGAGGAAGTTTCATTCAAAGGCCAAGCCTCTCCAGGGGTTCAAATCCACCAGCAGCTCCATGAGAGATGAGCAATCTTCTCCCACGGGATTTACAGCCTCAGAAACCCGATGGAGGGTCAGCTATGAGTTAGTTCTGATCCAACAGCAATGGATACCTTGGAGTCCATTCTGATCATGAGTCAGAACAGAATTGCACTTAAAAAGGCTTTTTCCATCATTGGATTACCCAATAAGCAAACTAAACATGAGTTCACTTGTATTTATCTACTAATCGTAGTGACCAATTCACATTTTCACCACACCAAAGACTGCCCCTCCATAAATGACTAGTACCTGTCTCTCTTCTGGCCTCACAGCATCTTTCTAAAGATTCAAAGCCTCTTTGCAAATTGACAGTCCGTGGTAGGGAAGTTTGGCAAACACAAGTTTATCGTGCTTATTACTAATGTATAGTGAACAGCTTCACATGATAAAAAGCACAACTAAGAGGTCTTTTCAATGAGGTCTTGCTATGCATCTGAGATCTGGACCATGAATAAGGATGACCGAAGAAGGGCTGATGTCTTTGAGCTGTGGTGTTGGAAAAGAGTACGGAATATCCCATGAATGGCCAAAATAACAAACAGATATGCCTTGAGAAAGGTGCAGCCAGAGTGCTCGTTGGCGGCAAAGATGATAAAGCTTCATCTCAATGCTTCAGGCGTGTTGCTAGGAGAGGCTATTCCTTGGAGAGAAACATTATGCTTGGAAAGGTGGAGAAGTCAGCAAAGGAGAGGAAGACCCTCAACCAGATGGGTTGACACAGTGACTGCAGCAGCAATGGTCTCAAGTGTGTCAGGAAGTGTGAGTATGGCGCAGGATAGGACATAGTTCAGACCTGCTGTTCACAGAGTTGCTATGAGTCGTCCACTTGATGGCACCTAACAACAACAACAACATATGAAACTATTCACTACAGATTAACAACCAGCACAAGTAAGCCTGTGCTTACCTTACTTATGGCTTGATTTGGTTTTTGGGTTTTTTTAATTATTATTTTCAATGAAAATTTACAGACTTTGGATTTCCAGTCATTCACTGTTGCACTTTTCTCCCCTCCCAACCCTTGCCTTTAGTATACTACCTTCTTGGAAAAGTAAAAGAAAAATTCTTTCATTGTTTTACAATCCCTCCCCCAGGTCTACTTCAATATATAGCCTTCTCTATGGACTCCTGTAATGACAAAAATACCTAATCACATATCCCTTTTAACCAGTTTTCTCCCTCATTAGTTTCAATGCAGTATACATTATTGAACCCATCTTTCTCAGTCTCACTGTAACCCCGAGATCAGTCCTGTTTTACAACAGTGGCACCATGTAGTATTTGTCCTTTTGTGACTGAGATACTTTGTTCAGCATAATGTCCTCCAGGGTCACACATTTTGAATAATATTGCATGAGTTCCTTGTTTTTCAATGCAGCATAGTATTCCATTGTGTGAATATACCACAGCTTCTCTATCCATTTGTTTGTTGATGGGCACTTAGGTTGTTTCCAACTCCTTGCTATTGTGAACAAAGCTGCAATAAACATGGGTGTGCATATATCTGCTTGGATGTCAGTAATGGTCTCTTTGGGGTAATTATGGCTGGGTTTTATGTGCCAACCTTTATATGAGAAAAAAACCAAACTCAAACTTACTGCTATCAAGTCGGAACTGACTCATTGATAATAACCCTTCACTGGGATTTTAAGGCAGTAAATTGCATGGAAAGAGCCCATTTTTCTCTTGCAGAGCTGATAGTGGGTTTGAACTGATAGAGACATGCAACTCTTGGACTGTTGTTGTGTTTTGTTGAGTAGGAAGTGACCCACAGCTGACCCTCTGGTGGGTTTTCAGAGGCAGTTGATTGCACAGAAGGAGAATGCCCATCCTTCTCTCAAGGAGAAGCTGCTAGATTTGAACAGTGCACCTTTGGGATTGCTGCACAGCTTCTTGCCACTAGTCCACTGGAGCTCCCAGAACTCCTGGATTAGCTGTAAAATTCACTATGGACTATGCCACCAGAGCTCATGTAAAGACTGCACCCTTGGAAATCCAATTCAGCTCTGTCTTATTGTGTTGCTATGCTGTGACACAAAGACTCATGAAGTGTTCCCTATTTTCTGAGATTGGCTCAGGATAGAGTAGCTCCTGTGTGTAGGGTTGGTAGGAATTGGAGTCAACTTTACAATAACAACAACACAGCAGGAGTTGGAATCTACGTGAAGGCAAAAGGCTTTTGATTTGGCATCACGACGAGCCCTGGGGAAGCCTGCTTTCCATGTCAACCATTGGAAAATCAGCCCATTTCATTTGTTTTAGTCCCATTCCTTTATTTGAAAAGTAAAGCACATACAACTACAAGGACTGGGTAATACATCCTTAGTGCTGGTGACAGCAGCTCTCTTGGCCATAGCCTTGGCATACCTGACCTGTGATCATGGTAGTGCTCCCAAGAAGGTGTCATCTCCAATTCACAGAGAGACAACCCAAGCTCAGAAAGGTCAAATTGGTCTTCCCGGGGAGCTCTGGTGGCCTAGTGGCAAGGAGCTGCAACTACAATCCCAGAGGCGCACGGTTCGAATCCACCAGATGCTCTGCTGGGGAAGGAGGAACAATCTCCTCCTGTACCAGTCAGATCTGATCTGACGGTACACTCACACCAAAAAAAAAAAAAAAAAGAAAGAAAAGAAAAAAAAATTGGTCTTCCCAAGGCCACACTGATGAAAATAATGTTTAAGAATGAAGGCGTCAAACAGAAAATGCTGCTACCATTAAGTCAGCTCCAACTCACGTCAACCGAGTGTGTGTCAGCAGTTGTGAATTCCACAAGGTTTTCAGCCGGCCTTTCTTCCAGGGGCCTTCTGGCCTTACTTGAACTTACAGCCTCAAACTGCCATTGAGTTGACTGTGACTCACAGTGGCCCCATGAACCTTTGCTCTCTGTAAAGATGGCACCCTTGGCAATCCCATGGGGCAATTCAGCTCTGTCTTATCATATTGCTATGCTGTGATTTGAGAAATAGAGTTCATGATGGTTGCCTTCTTACAGGAGTGTGGTGGGGGTTTAATGGGTGGACACATGTCTGAAGCCCTCAGAACAGGATCTGGCATACTGTAACTTGTTTATTACTGAATGCTTATTATTAAGTAGTGCTAAGTTAAGAGTCACTCATTTCTATCTGAAAATGAAGAGAAAAAACATGTTTTGCTTTTTTTCACTTTCCCCCCAAACCAGGACACCTAAATGTCTGAAAAGAAACCAAAGCCTGAGCCTGCATATGTGGCTGATCCTGGCACTGGAAGGCCGCACAGCTGGCCCCTCTGGGCAGCCAGAGAGCGTTGAAGGAGAGCAAACACACAGCTGTGGTGAGCAGCTCCCAGAGACAGCCTCGCTGGCGACCCCCCAGATTTCACCGAGGAGAAAAAGCACCCCAGAGAGACACTAGAAGCCTTGTGCAGGGCCACCACATGGGTCTCTTTACTGCCTCAGGGTTTGGGGCTTGTACCTTCTGGAACTTTCCACGGCTGGCTGCACCTATCACAAACACTCGCAGAGTCTCAGGAGCCAGATGTCTGTGTTCACATCCTGGTTTCGTCTCTTAAGGGTTATGTGATTCTGGGAAAGTTACTTAATCTTTATTGTCCCTGTTCTTAAATAGGGAAAAGATGTAACTGCCTCATAGGGCAGTTGCGAGGATAAAACAAAATGCTCACACTGTCCCCAGACACAGCATGGCAGAGCCTGCTGTTATCCTGAGCCTTCAGGAGAAGCAGGACACCATGGCTTTCTCTGAGGTGGTCCACTTTTTACACTTTCTTAGAGCTGACTGGAGTCTCTGGGTGGTCAACACATAATACGCTTGACTGATAATTGAGAGTTGGAGGGTTTGAGTCCATACAGAGGCGTCTGAGAAGAAGGCCTCGGGATTTACTTCCCAAAATCATCTGTTAAGACCCTGTTGATCCCTGTTTTATTCTGACACATGTGGAGTAACCATGAGTTGTAATGGACTCAATGGAAACTGTCTGATTCAGTGAGTTTTCTTATTGGATCCCACCTGTGATATTGTTGTTATGTGCTGTTGAGTCACCTATGACTGTATACACAATGGCTCTGAACCCTTCCCTATCCTGGGACAGTCTCATTGACTCCAACACACCTAATTCCACTGCCCTGGCTATCATGTCAATGCATCTCATCTCGTGTCTTGTTCTCCTGTGCTGTCTGTCTCTGCACCCTTCCAAGCATGATGTCCTTCTCCAAGGATGGGTTCCTCCTGGCCACGTGAACAAGTATGAGAGAAGGAGCTTCAAAATCATTGCTTCCAACAAGAAAGCTGGTTTCACCCTCTCCAGGACAGATCTATTTGTTCTCCTGGCAGCCCATGGTATATTTAAGATTCTTTTCCAGCACCACGACTCAAAGGCATCAATTCTCCTATCACCTTTAGTCATGGTCCAGCTGTCTTCTGTCATCCTTAGTCACTGTCCAATTCTCTAACGCTAGGGTGACCTCAAACCAAACCCCAAATCAAACCAAGCCTACTACTGTGGAGTCAATTCCAATTCATGGCAACCTCAGGTTTCTGAGGCGGTGACTTAATGCGAATAGACTGTCTCATTTCTATTCCTCAGAATGGCTGGTAGACTGAATGGTTGGTTGAGTCAGACCATTGTTTTTGTTAACAGAGTGACATGTAACCCACTGCAATACCAGGGCTCCTTTCTAGAGAGACAAGAGACCTTAATCTCTTCAAGCTCCTGCTGTGAGAATCTCTAGGCTCCTTCAAGGCATACGAGGGGGAGAGGCAGGGCCCTGCAGTCCGGATGGGTTTAGTCAGATCATGCCCAGGCTGCCTGGGATACCTGCCAGGGCCATCAGCAGGCAGGCTACACACTCCTGGAAAAAGGCAGGATCTATGCAGAATCATCTTCAACAGAGTGTTCCCTTGGTGAACAGGAAACCCCTTGCTCCCCAATGGCCTCTCACAGGACTCAGAGACATTTAGTACTTTCTGGTTCAAAAGTTCATTGGCCTCTGAGGTCAGTCTTAGAAAGCCTGCTTGGGGCACTTGTTCCTTCTGAAGATTAAAAGGAAATAAGTTTTCTTGACAATTCCTCTATACCTAATACTTCATCTGTGAAACTTCCCCTCCTGGCGATTTAGGGTCCAAATGTTCAACAGCTGCACTGTTCTCATTCACAATCCATCTCTGTCCCCAAAGCTGGCGCAGATGTGCGGCTTGCTGAGTGAAGGCCACAGAAAAGGCCCTTTCCACTTCTTTTCTCAGTCGCCGTGTCCCTGTGCAGGGGTACGGGGACCCTGTGCTTCTGGGCTCCCAGCCCTGCTGGCCGGGGCCAGAGGAGACTGTGCCTCATAAAGAATGTCCCAAGCGTCTAGCTGGCAAGGCCTACAAGTTTCCATGTGTTTACATCACCAAGTGGAGCTTTGTTGTGGCTCTCCACAAGGAAATGAAGACAAGGCTTCACAAAAAGTCCATGTTTCTCAGCTCTGCCCTCAGAAAGGCCCTGTGGCGGCCCTCAGGCTTCATGACTCCATGACAATAATGAATTATGACCATTGGCTGAATGCTCACCTTGTGCCAGACCCAGGGGTCGGAGACTGAAATAGCTCTATTGCTCCTAGGAGCTCTTAACCCTAGGAGCTCCATACTATTATCTTCTTCACATTAAAAAAAAAAAAATAGATGAGAAACCAAGGCTTGGAAAAATGAAGTAACTTGTTCAAAATATACAGTAGAGCCAGTCTACTGGAGGAGATCTGAATTCAAGCCCATCTGACTCCTAGCCAATGAATACTCTGGCCAGCAAATAAAATATTCAGACTCCACCAAACTCATTGCTGTTGTGTTGGTGGTATAGAAGTGAGAGTAGCTGCTACAAACTCAGTGCTGTTGAGTCAGTTTGGACTCACGGTGACCTTCCATTGTGTGCCCAAGGCTATAAATCTTCCTGAGAAGAGACTGCCCATCTTTTGAGCAATTGGTGGATCAGAACTGCCTGAGATTCTCAGCCATATGGCTGGGAACAGCCACGGGACCCCACCACCAGCGAACCCTCTGTACTGAATGCATACTGAGCCTTGCAGCACTGTTCTATTTTACATGAATTGGTTCTTTTAATCCTTACAACCCAATCTGTGAGGCACTGGTGTTGCAGTTACATCGATTCTGATTCTCGAGGACCCCATATGTATGTACAGAGAACGGTTTCATAGGGTGTTCAAGGCTGTGACTTATTAGAAGCAGATTATTAGGTCTATCTCTCATGGCAGGGAGCTCTATGGCCTAGTTACAAGAAGCTGCACTGCAGTCCTGAAGACATGCAGTTCGAGGCCACCAGTTGGTCCACGGGAGAAAGATGGGCAATTTGTTCCCATGCGATTAACTGCCTCTGAAAACCCACTGGAGGGTCAGCTCTGGGTTGGTTCTGACTTGACAGCATACAACAACAACGTCTTCCTAGTCCTCCTTGCCAACATTTGCACTAGTAGTCATTCAAATGCTTAACTGTCTGTGCCAGCCTATGAAGTAAGTATTATTAATAGTCCCATTTGATGGATGATGAAACCGAGCCCAAGCAAGATTATGTCCATTGGACCATGAGAACCACAGGAAACCCAGGCGTCTCAGGAATGACTGGCTGCCAGTGAAACCCAGGGTGCCTGCTGGAGGCTCTCCCCAGCATCGCCTGACCCTCGGGCACACTCACGGCTGCAGGTCTTGCCGTTGGGGTCCAGTGTATAGCCTCGGCGGCAGCGGCAATAATAACCCTCCTCTGTGTTGACGCATTCGTGCTCACAGTTTGGTTTATTCAGTGCACAGTAGTTGATGCCTGAGGAGAGAAAGAACAAGCCTTATCTTCAGGGTCTCTCCCATGGGGAGAGCTGGTGGTGCCTGCTTGCTCAGTGAGCCCCAAATGGACCATGACTTCATTTATTCATCAACTAAATGCCAGGCCCTGAGCCAGATCGGAAGGTGAACTAAGGGTGTGTGTGTGTGTGTGTGTGTGTGTGTGTGTGAAGTGATAGTGGAAGGGCATGGTGGGTGAAGTCACATATCCTAATAAGAGGGGGGTAGAATTATAGTGGAAGGGCATGGTGGGTGGAGTCACCTGCCCTAAGGGGCTTCAGCTGTGGTTTGGGAGGAAGACATGAGCATACAACAGAGTACAGAGGAGGGGACTCAACTGAGTCTGGGGGCCAGGAAGTCTCCCTGGAGGATGTAATGAACAACTGAAAGCCTAGACAAGAAGGAGTCAGGCAGATGGGAGGGCTGGAGCGAGGGGAGTAGAATGAGGAATCGTAAAAACAAAGGCCTATGGATTCGGGTCAAGGAGAACTCCACATCTGGGGAGGTTCGAGGAGCTGAGTATGGCAGGAACGTAAGAGTTCAGAGGCAGCTGTGAGGTCAAGACCCTGTGGGCCATGGGGTGGAGCCTATGAGAGGTGAGACAGGTGAGTGGAGGGCTGGGACTATGTGGTGCTATTGGTCACAGACCAGAGGTGTGCCTTTAAGAAATCTTTGCGGAGTTGGGGATTCCACTCTTGTTAAGATCTACATCCTTGAAAACTCAATGGTGGGGGCTCATTAGCTAGAGTCGACTTAACAGCAGTGGAGGGTTTTTGGGATGTTTTGGGGCTTTAAAAATAGGATAAAGCTCTGGGAGCTTGTTTGAAAGAACACCTGAAACTGGAATACACCTGCTGGTTCCTCAGCATTTGTCTCTTCCCCATTTGATAGCAAACAAACAGAAAATGGAGCAAGGGCCACAGCTCCCAGCCCTTCCCCTTTTGAGAAAGAATGAAAAGCTGAGAAAATCCAGTCAATCTCTTTCTAGAGTTAATCTAATCACCAAATATATCCCAAAGCATGAGGGAACTGCCTTCTCCAGTAGATCCAACAGTGACACTGGAAAACAGTAGGCTAAGGCCGGATGGATCTTGGCTGAAAGCAGAGAATACCAGAAGAATGTCTATTTGTGCTCTGTTGACTATGGAAAGACATGTGACTATGTGGATCATAACAAACTATGGTTAACCTTAAGAAGAATGGGAATTCCAGGCCACTTAATTGTGTTTATATGAAATCTCTACCTAGACCAAGAAGCCTTGTCCAAACAGAGCAAAGGATTAAAATTAGGAAAGGTGTGCAGAAGGGCTATACCTTCTCTTCATTGCTATTTGATTTGTATGTTGACAAAACCACCTGAGAAGCTGGACTTTATGAAGAAGAATGTGGCACCAGGATTGGAGGAAGACTCGTTAACAACCTACATAATGCAGATGATACAACCTTGCTTGCTGAAAGTGAGGAAGACCTGAAACACTTGCTGCAGAGGATCAAGGACTGCAGCCTTCAATATGGATTGCATCTCAACATCGAGAAAACACAATTCCTCACCACAGGACCAACGGGCAACATCATGATTGATGAAGAAATGATAGAAATTGTCAATGATTTTATCTTGTTTGGATCTACAATCAACACCGTTGGTACAAGCAGTCAGAAAATCAGGAGATGTACATCACTGGGGAAAGTCTGCTATCAGCGGCCTCTCCAAAGTCCTGAAGAACAATGATGTCAGTCTAGAGATTAAGGTTTACCTTGATTCATGCCACAATCTTTACAATCACCTGCTGTGCATCTGAGAGCTGGACAAGGAATAAGGATGACAGAAGAAGGATTGATGCATTTGAGTTGAGCTGTGGTGCTGAAGAAGGATGTGGAATATCCCATGGACCACCAAAAGAACAAACAGATATGTGTTGGACAAAGTGCAACCAGAATATACCGTGGAGGCAAAGCTGGTGAAGATTTGTCTCACATATTTTAGTCATATTAGAAGAGGCTGTTCCTTAGAGAACAACATCATGCTTGGAAAGGTGGAGGGTCATCAAAGGAGAGGAAGACCCACAATGAGATGGACTGATGCAGAGCCTGTGGTAATAGACTCAAATGTTTAAGGGATGAAACGGATGGGGCAAGATAGGACAGGGTTCAGATCCATTGTTCATGGAGTCGCTAAGAGTTGTACTCGTCTCCATGGCACTCAACAACAACAGCAACAAACTAAAACTGATCTTGCAAAACATCCAGCTATTGAGGAGAGTCAAGAAGTCGTAGGTTCCATTAGAAAGGGTTTACATGCCTCCACTTGCCCTGAGTGAGGGCACATGAACATTCACACCATCAAACTAAAAAATACATCAGGAGATATAGTTCTGATACAGCCCAGGTGACTGCAGTTCTGTCCTAGTTAAGAATAAGCCCTGTTCAAGCTATGTTCCTGCTGAATGACAGAAAATGGCATCATTACCAGTAGCTGATTAGTAATTTTATTTCCTGGTAGAAAATGCTAAGATCCCACAAACAGTAAGTCTGAGGGAGATGAAAAACTGTAAAAGGAAATAATGAGCCTTCCTGAGACTGGTGTTAGGGGGGAAAAGGTCACTGCCAACCTCACTGGCTGGGCTGGGTTAGTTTAACAGACAGCATTGTCCTTTCTTTGGGGATGCTGCCTTGCCAACAATAGACAGTTTTTCTCGTAAGAGAACCCTGACCCCTAGGGAATGAATCACAGTTAGTCTAAGCCAGCTCAGCAACCATATTCTTCTTTGCCAATATTGGTAGAAAAAGAGACTTTGTTCTTCTAGTTCTGACCCATGTGATATAAGAAAAAAAAATTTCCTCCTTGAAAGACAGTGATATATAAGGAGAAATACTTTTTCTTGTCCTTTTCTCTTTCTTTCTTTGGCTCTCGTAGAATGAGGATATGATGCCTGGAGCTGCAGCAGCCATCTTGCAGCCACAGGGAAAATAAAATTGAGGTTGAAAAGTCAGCATGTAAGGATAGCAGATTAAAAGGACAGAAAGAGTGTGAGTTTTGGTATCACTGAGCCAACCTAAGGATAAATTACTGCTGGAATTATTAGGCAAAAAGGTAAAAGTTTTAATCACTGGATGTTGTTTTGTATGGTAAAAAATGAACCTGATAGAGAGGGAAATCTGAACCATAATCAACTGATAATGTACACATTTCATTTTTATTCATTATGTCTCTTTGCAAAAAAAAGTGTCTGAGACAGTCTACATGCAAAGAACTTGTAGGTAGGACACATGCCACCCTTGTGTATCAGTGGCTCCCTTGCTGTCCATAGAATAAAGACCAGGACCTCTGGCAAGCCTAGGAAGCGTCACATAATCTCGTTCTGGCTTATTCTCAACTCTTCTTATGTTCTTTGCTCTGCGTGCTCCAGACACATTGACTTTCATTTCACTGAACATCCCATACTGGCCTGTCTCCCTTTTGTGCCCTGGCCTTCCCACTCCACTTCCACTGTTACCTAGCTAATCCCCATCTTTTTTTTTTAAAGTAAATAAATGTTTTACTGTAACAGGTTTACTTACAAAGTTTATATACACTGTTTTTCACACCAGATCTTTCCCATTTCCTTTATCCACTCCTCCCGCCTCCCTCCACTTATCAAATTGTGCAACCATATGATTAACCACCCCACTTCTCTGCCCATCCTCACCCCTCTGCTCCTCCTCTACCCTCTTTGGATCCTCATACATGTTCTACAAAAATGGTCTTAAACAGTATTTGTCCTTATGGGACTTAGTTCACTTAACATAATGCTTCCCAGTTCCTCCCAAGTTAGGTAGTGATTTACAAAATCTTTGCTCCTATGTGCTGCGTGGTATTCCATCATTCCAATCCATTCGATTGTGGTTGGACATCTGGGCTGTTTCCGTGTTCTTGAGATGGGGAACAATGCTGCTATGAACTTTGGTGTACAAATCTCCCTTTGTGCCTCAGTTCTCATTTTCTCAGAGTATATTCCAAGTAGTGGAATAGCTGGGTCATATGGAATTTCTATGTTCAGCTTTTTGAGGAAGCACCAAGTTGCCTTCCAGAGTGGTTGTACCATTTTACAAGCCCATCAACAATGTGTAAGAGTTCCTATCTTGTCACATCCTCTCCAACATGTATTACTTGCTGTCCCGTTAAACTTTGCCACTGCTACTGGAGTAAAATGGTATCTCATTGTGGTTTTGATTTGTATCTTTTATTGCCTGTTATTCTGTATCTTTTATCACGTTAGCTCAGTATCCTTTTCCCAGTGATGCCTCCCATGACTTCCTGATGAAGTAATTTCTTTCTCGTGCTCTTTCACAGCTTTCCTCACAATGATTACTTACCACTCTTTTTTTTTTAACTGAAATTTTAATGAAAGTGTATAGTACTTAACATTTCTTTCATGTGATGCATCAATCTCTATTTCTTTCGGATGAATGACCACATACTTTTTCTGATCCCAGAGGCATTCAATAATGATTTCTAACATCGCTCTCTTTCTCTCTCTCTTTTTCCTCTCTTCAACTCATAGCAAGCTAACATGTCTTAAGCACCTAATAAGAACCAGGCAATAGGCTAAACAGTTTATAAATACTTTAGAAATACAATCTCCTTTGGTTGTACAGAATAGTATTATTCATTCAGTATTATTAGTCTTAATGTTAAGGATGTAGAAATGAAGATTTGAAGATAGAAATATCCTCTCTTTTTTCTTTTGAGGCACTGATATCTTGTTCAAGATCCTACAGCTTGCAAAATGGAGCAGCAAATGGAACTTAGATCAGGGGAACTCCAGACCCGTTCCTTAAAGGACACATTACGTGTCTCTACATTGAGTGGTTAAGAAAAAAAATTCTATCTTGGAGGAAGTGCAGTCAGAGTGCTCCTTAGAGGCAAAGATGGTATGCTCCGTCTTTACTTTAGGCATACTGTCAGGAAGGACCTGTCCATGGAAACAGACATCATTCTGGGAA